GATCGTATGCTACAGCAGGGTAAGCATATGACACCACATAAAATTAAAATTGGTAACATCCAAATTATCTGTCCGGGTACTGAAAACAGAACCCAAGAACAAAGTAATGTGGTGACAGAAATCACCTCTGATCACGAAGAAGCAGATAAACCACCAAAGATAATTGGAGTAGATAAACCCCCCAAACAGAAAGTGGTCAATACAGATGGTGTGGCAAATGAATGCAGCAAAGTACAAGAGGGCCAATTAGAAGAGCCTTGTGAAAAGATAAGTCCATCAAACACTAAAGTTCCCAATGATGAACCAACTGGTGGAGCTGGGGTAGCAGATGTCTCCAGTAAGGTAAAAGAGTGTTTGCCAAAGGCATTTTTCGAGATGACATCATGGCCTAGCAATGAAACAATGCTATCAGATGACGAGACAATACCACACGAAAGATTAATGGCAGCATACAACGCTGAAACCCACAGAGAAAGCAGTAAGGGTATCATAAACGGCAAACCAGGTACAGTGATAAGAACATCTGGCACATTTTTTTCAATTATTAGAAAGTCCTTATTAGAGGAGCCAGATTACACAGGGGAAACAATAGCATATACATTAGGAAACAAGAAATGTGAGTTGAGAATAGCTAGGGTTAAGGTTGAATCTCCATTTATTTGTGAGAGAATAGAAGTACTTGCATGTAGAAAACCACCCCCAGACGTGATCATTGCAGGGAAAGAAAACCCAAAAAGTTGTACCATGAAAGAAATAAAGGAGTGGGAGAGGACTCATTATGTACCAGCAGTGCTAGCACTGACCCAACCCAAAGTGAAGAAAAAAGTTGAAACAGTGTGATGTTGTTGCAGGGCAGCAAACAATTAGAGAGAATGATGTGAGAAAGCGCGAGAGAATGGATAGAATTTTAAACCTTGCTCATTCTGATCAACCAAATGTAACAGATGAGTTCATCTCAAAGCAAAGAGATGATACTACATTCACAAAATGTTTACAACTGTCTGATAAATCTGATAAATTTTCAAACAAAGAAAAATGGTCTTTTGTATCCAAAAAGGCTATCCTCACCCGATTCTACAATAAAGGTGTTTATACATTTAAACAAACTGTACTACCTGTTGCTTACAGACAGATTACGTCAGAGGGACATGAAGTAGAAACATCATGTAGTCTGGTTCAGGAACCTGAAGAAGGTCCCACAGACAAACAAACAGTAAAACCCAGTAGTGTTTCCGAAACATCTTGGAAGCTATTAAAAGTGTCTGATAATGTCTTACCTACAAAGACATTTGCATATTATTATCAAATGAAAAAGTTAGCAAATGTCTTTTCTCAAAATGTTGTTATTTATGTAAAGACGCTCAGAACTGCTTTTGAGCGTGGTAAACAATCTGGTTTGACAGTTAAACCTTCCAAGATCGAAATTGATTTTCATGAATTTAAATTTTTGGGGCATAACACTTTTAAGGGAATACTGCAGAGGGATGAGAAAATTATTCCAAATATTTCGAACCTGACAAATCCCACAACAAAGAAAAAGGAAATCCGAAGCTTATTTGGGCTCATTAACTGCATTCAATTCATCCCAAATGTTAGTCATAAAACGGTTGCCTATACGAAACATCTGAAAAAGGGATCCTCCAACCTGATTGAATGGAATACTGAACTTGACCAGGCCTTCGCCAGGATCAAGACACTGCTCTCCAGTTCCCCAATTTTAAAATTGTCTCAATTTAAATTGACTTCCATCCTCAGATCCAGCGTAAACAATATAAGAAGTGCGGGCTGTTTGAAGCAGCCAGAAGCGTACCCATTTAAAGGAGAGTTTCTCTTCGTCGATGTATTACAGTTTAGCAGATGCATATGGCATGGCGAAGCCAAAACAGCACATAATAGTACGTACCTTGCTCTTGCAACCCTACTGGAAACTTTTGCGTTTAATCAGCACAGATATTGTTGCAGACCGTGTGAACCAGTACCAAAAAACAAAATGATTGCCAAGTGGGCACTACTTTTAAAGAACAAGTTTGAAAGAACCTACATCAAAATTGTCTACAATTCGGCTGATCTGTTGAGTCGTCTATGATGACTATGGCGTCAATATCCACAACTGTACTGTACAAGAAGGTAACATTTTCCATCTATGATGATTTTACAGCATTCAACAACTTTTATTGCAGATCGAAAAGATATATTGTCTCCATGTCGGAAGTCAATGATGCAGTAAACCTACTGCTGATACAAAATTTTCATCAGTTGCAGATTAACAAGATTGCATTCGAAAGTGAAGATAAAGTTATCATGTCTGATGAAATTGTTTCAATACTAAATGTTTAACTAGTACAGACATATCAATATCCTTTTCAGAAATTGGAAAATAATTTATCCTTTAGAAAGTAGTCAACGATGACACCAACAGACACTTCAATATTGTGTTCATCATTTTCCACATCAATGTTTCATCTGATATAATATACAAATACACAAACTGCCAGATGATTAGGTACTGCATCCATAAGCCAACATTGTGAAGGGCTCATTAAACCGAGCTTACCTACAGCAAGAACATTTCAGTAACATATTTACTTATCGTCTTTGTGCTAGACGTTTCAGGAAAGAACTGTTCATATTGCAGAAATACCAAAAATGTGGCAAAACTAGATGTATCTCCTTCAAGCAATAATGTGAACTCTTACAGTTGCAAGATCTTATCTGATATGACATTCTAAATTTCAAAGGCATCATTCTAGAATTCAAGGCGAAGTGAATATTCGTTAAAACAATGTACAACTGAAGATTTCAATTCAAGGAAACTGAACTCATTGAACACTGAAAGCATTCAACTTAATCGTTTAAACACACTGGAATTCAAATTATTATGGCAACAAAAGTGGAATCGTCAATGACAGTGGATCTGGACATCAGCGACTGGATCATCGTCAACTTAGAGTATGACTGATGAGTGAATGTACATTAAAAGTGAATGAAAGGACAAATGACACGTGGGGACTATAGAAATATTCACGTCACTACGATAAATTTATGTTAAATGTGATCATGATCTGATAAATTCAGTTGATTACATACGTTATATTCTATTCGTTAAATGTTATCAATGTTATGTGATCGTGAATTAACATATTATGTTTAAGCCATTACATGTTCTATATGTTATGTGTTAATTGTGATAGTGTAATATGTTTGGTTTGTTACATATTGAAGGTTATACATCTGATTCATCAGATTCATCTTTGATATCTATGTCTTGTTGTGAAATATTTTGTATTCATGTTGCAAATTGGATGTACACATTATTTATTTTTAAAATGTAATTTTTGGGTTGATTTTTCAGCTTGGAAATGTAATTTTTCTCTGGTGATTTTCTTTTTCGGTTTTCAATACGTAATTTTTCCATTTTCTCCTAATCGTTAAAGTTTTTATTTTTGTTTTTGTTTTTAAATAAGAAACTTATAAACCATATTTGAAACTTAAATATTGTTAGAAGAGATTGTCGCTCCAGAGGAGAGATCACTGAGTATATATGAAGGTGATAGAAACCTTGTACATTGGGGGAAGTTTCATGTTACAGGTGACATTTTCCATGACTGTTGCAAATGTGTCGTACAGGCCACACTTGTGTTTCTATATACTACACTATATGTCTAGAGGTATGACATGTGTCAGTGGCAGGGATTGCTAGGTAATTTTAGACACATTATTTGACGGGACGTCAAGGAGTCGGGATGACTTAGTTAGAACCATAGAAGGGTCATGTCTATGACGACCATTGTTATGTTCGCAATGGCGTACAACTCGCACGAGAGTGGGGTTGGGTTCATGTGGGTCCCGGACGGTTAATAGTCCACCCACAATATTATATAATTAGTCTTAACCTCTATGACTACAAAGTGTTGGTTAGTAGTGGCGTACTTGTGACATGTTGTGATACTATTGGTAACTTCATGGTTTAGTGTTGTCCTTGTATATGTACATGTCCCATAAGGATGTAAAGATACGTTGTTCTCAGGTGACTGACTCTCATTAGGAAACATCTCAAATCTATGTTGATAGGAACTTTCATGACTGTTTGTGACAATAATTGGGGGAAGAAAGCAGGATATCCGGAGATGCACTGAACTGAATGTAGACACAATTCTGTCGACATCCCATACCCAGGTAGAGATACTTGACTCCAGACGTAGATATGTAAGGTAGACGTCTGTCATCAGGAAGTATCTGTCCAAAAGGAGGGGTGGATGTCAGGGTTCGCCCTGCTATGGGACAGTTCAGGATGATGATGATGAATCTCGTCATCGTACCCTGCGACCCTTAGTGGGCGTTAACACTGTCGACGCACTTAGGCCTACACATTGGCGCATGCCATAACGTCTTTGGCATCGAGATATAGCGGGTTGAGCTGGCACTGTACGGGAGAGTGGTAGCGGCTCAGAGCTTAGTTCATAAACGTGTAAAGGCGCCTCTAAGCGATTTTAAAGTTAGACGCGGCCTGGGTTTTGAATAAGGAGCGCTACTCCTCCTGAGGTGTAAACCACCACTTCGTTTGCATCTTTGGTAATAAAGATTGTGTGTGTGTTGCAACAAGTGTTTGGCTTGAGTGTGTGTTGTACGGCGCGGTCTCTTGTTGTCTTTCAGTTACGTTTTTACGTTTTTATTAAGAGAAAAAGACGGCCTGTGACATAGGTTTCGTCACTCTCTAGAGAGGTTGTGTGTTAGACCCAGTCTCTGAACGTTTCTGTTCTTGTTAAAAGCTCTGGCATAGTGAAATATACAACACGCGATATCTGCGCCAGTGCCGAATAGCCCCGTGACCTATGTGAAACTCGGATCGCTGGAGGCTGACGTATTATAGGTGGGGTAGGCTGGAGGTCGACCAATGGGAAGTGAGCTAATGTGTACAGGTGTGTATATGGAAAGACCAACGTAATAATCACCGAAACTTTTTGTTTTTACACAACAGCAACCCAGAAGCAGCCTACAAGTGGTACCGCGATCAGGGAGCAGGAGCGATGAACGAGATGGTGACCACCTCGTGGTACACAATAACCAACGGAAAGCTAACCATACACAACCCTGACGAGACACGAGATGAGGGAATGTACCAATGCCTAGCCTCCAACATCATTGGGTCAGTGCTCTCTGATCCGGTGCGGATCACTTTTGGATGTACGTTATTGTTGGATTTTGTTTTGAAAATGTGTGCAATTATCACAGTTTTTCTCATGTCATCATCATTAAGCAGGTCCTTTGCAGAACGTCGCGCTCACCACGGTCTGTCTCGTCGAAACTTATCTTTCACCAGCTCTTCCCCCTAGCGTACTTTCATATTCAAGCAGTCGATTATTGCATATGCCCATCTTTGTGTCGGTCTGTCCCTATCACTCCTTCCTGATGCCATGGCGCATGATACTACTAAAATATTCCATGATGTTCATACTTTTCAAAAGTCAGTATTTTTTTTATCTTTGTCTAAGGTATTCTGAAAATCTTTCTACAGAATTTCAGCTCAAAAGCTTTTATATGTGTGTATAAGTGTGTATATGTGTGTGCGTATATATATATATATATATATATATATATATATATATATATATATATATATATATATATATATAAGGACCCTTTTCACGTTTTCGGGCGTATTGAGTATTTAGGGCTAGACATATATTTTATAGACCAACAGCACAGGATGGGTGATGTGGTCAGCATCACGCCGGCCACCTTAACTTCCCAGGACTGCACCCGGTACCCATTCAAAGCTGGGTCGACCTGAGAGCCAAGGTCATTTTTAAAAAAAGTTAGACCCTGACGGGACCCGAACCCACGATCTTTCAATCCGCAGGCGAGCATCTAGCCGCTAAAAAGCTCCCAAAAAAGAAAGCAGATTCCCGTTATATGACCAAGCCTCTGGACGTATCGTCAGTTCAAATAATAGAGTGTCCAGAATAGGGAGGAACGTTTCTATCTGCTCATCTATCATATCTACTAACACACAGACTCGGTTGTCGTTCCCCTTTCTTCTCCATCACTGTAGTCCTTATCTAAGCACACACTCATGACATGATATGGCAACAGCCGCGATGTCTCAGCTGAATACGACGTGCAAGAGCACAATCAACATCGCAGTCAAGGTCAATATATTCGCGTCACTGGTTAGACAATAAGGTGAAAATATGGGGGTTACTGTAGTCAAGCTAATACAAGGAATTCCAGGAAAATTTCACTAAAAAGCTTAACCAAATGGGGAAGACGAAAAACGTGCACAAAACAACACAAATAACGTAACGTTACATTACCCATGAAAGAAAAATAGAAGCCTGTGAAATGAAATGTCTATGAAAAGCAGCGAATAAGACCAGACTAGACAGGATAAAGAATATAGACATTAGAAACACTGTCAAAACTACACCATGTTTAGACTACATAGAACATCAAAGAATGAAATGGTTTGGACATCTAACCAGGATGAAAAATGATCAAATAAAATCACAAATTTTCAACCAAAGAAGCTCAGGATATAAGGCAAGAGGAAGACCAAGGAAACGGTGGATTGACGGGGTCTCCGAAACCTGCCAAAAGCATGGCCTCAGAACTTCAGATGCTGCCCGCCTTGCTTATGACAGGAACTTGCATCTCCCCACAACGCTTAGCGGCATACGTGGAAGGAAAAAGTAAAGTAAGTAAGTTCTCTGGAATTTCTGGCTAGACAATACCATTGACGTGTATATATTGACCTTAAGCGAAGCTGACTTTGCTCTTCCACTTTTTAATACTGATGTGAGAGTTGGAGTCTCACTTTACAAATGGAAAGGAGGATTCAGGTTTTCGAATGCTAATGCTATAAATGCAATTTACGAATTAGTTATTTAGAACACGAAACTAATAAATAGATCAAAGACAAAATATACAGATTTGCAGGACATCAGGAGCCTCTCTTTGCAGTGGGGAAACGCAGCAAGCTAGCATGGTTTGGGTAAGTAGTGAGACATTCGATTTCAAAGACTGTGCTTCAATGAGTATTGAGGGAGGGTGGAGGGGGAGACAGTCAAGAAGAGGAGGGCAAAAAAGAACCTCTAATGGCAACATAAAAAAATGGACAAGACTAAGTTATCATAACTTATTCATCAAGCGGAAGACAGAGAAAGATAGCCAGTTTTATGTGCTATTGCTTCCACCAATACACCTCCATGACCCTATCGGGTCAAGGGTTAAGTTATATTATTACATACTCCTAGCTTCGAAATCATTTAATAAATCAACTAGTCCCAAGTTTCCCGCAGATAGATTTTCACTCAAGAATCAGGTAACCGCATTTTCAGCTTTATAGCGAACGGGTCACCCTATAGTTGCTCCGTTCCTGTGTCAAGTAAAACAGCACAAGAGTTCCCATCACTGTACATTTTCTACAGCTCACAGTGTCGCGCCATGCACTCAACTGAAGTGACAGGACGACGAAACTAGACTTAGACAAATTCGTGGCAACATTCATGCTCACATCTTATGATTGGAGGATATTTGCTTGTTTTCGTCACTCTGTCTAGCATGCCATTTCAAAGAATTGTGAGAAAGATCGTTTCAAGTTCTTGTATATGTTTATTCTTAATCCCTCTGCCTCTCTCCTTTTATTCACTAGCTGCTCATTGGCTGGACAGTCGGGAAAACGAGGGGGTGGGGGGCGGTTATACACATAGTTGGGGAGCCTGATCTTTGAGAATCGTCGCTTGTTTGTGAAAGCTCACCAACAATACAATATGTTTACAAACTACGGTATACGTTCATGCTGAAACGATAGTTGACAGTTAGCAAAGTTAACCAACAAGTTATTAAACTGTGAAAATTGGTACGTCAGGGAGAGACCTGACATATTTTCAATAGTAGAGGATTTGCGAGAAAAAAAAAAGTCTTCCACAGTGAAAAGTTTGCCAAGTTAATCCATGTGCAAGTGTTGAAAAGCTGTCTGTTGGGAAAGATAATTATAAAGTTAGTGAAAGATCTACCAAATACAGCTGGGCAGATAGAAAAAAAAGGAACGTTTATAAGATTAGTTAGGTAGATTGCCAAACTGTCAATTACTGCCTTTGTTATACGACTTTTGCGGTGTAGGTCGGGGGGGGGGGGGGGGGTTGATTCAGAGGATTTACGGCCGCATGGCTAGTGCTGTCGCCACGACTGTTCAGGTGGGGAATTTTGATTTTGTTGGGCAGATTGATCTTTAAAAATGGTCGTTTGTTTGTAAAAGTTGAGAAACAGGGAAAAAGATTTCCAAGTTGCAGCATGTGCTCCTTTTGCAATGCTAGTTTTCAATTAACAATGTTGACCAAAAAGTTGACAAATAAAATTTTTTTTTTTTAAACAAGTTAGTAAAAGATATTTCAAATATTTGCTAGAAACCGCTGTGAGAAGAATATTTTTTTTTTATTTCATTAAAAAAAAAAATTTTTTCCCTCTATGTTAAAGTTTATACATTGCTCTATGTTCAATTTTTGTAAATATATCTGTTGCATAAGAACATTCTTAAGTTAATGAAAGATCTACCAGAAATACTCAGCTGGGCGAAAAAGGGAAAAGAAAAAAAAAAACTTCCTGTCCATCCGTTTACTCATCGTTGCGTCCAGATGTCTGAATCATCTGTTATATGGTGTCAAAGTGTTAAGTCGTAGTTCTGTTGCTAGATACAATTTGCTGAAATTTCCTCGTTGTCGTGACCACAGAGGGAAAAAAACGAAACTGCTCTTATCGCGGCCTTAAACTTAGTATGTTTCTCTAGCGTGAAACATAACAACCTACAGTTGTCGAGCTAGCCCTGTCTATTGCTGGAGTTCTAACCGTAGACGACAAAATCGACAAGACGAATATTAATAGAATATCGCTTGTTTTTTTTTAAATCCGGCTTCTCACACACCGTCAAGATGTTACATTACTTTACAAACGCGTTATATTTTTTTTTTTAATTATTTGAAGAAAAATTACATAAATGGTCGTAGACCATGAGGCAGACCAACAAGACGACGAAGCGATGATGTCCAGAGATATCTGCAAACACTTGGTGTTACTAACTGAAAAGTGAAGTCCAACCAGAGAGATGAATGGAGGCGGGTGATATCTGCAGCAGTGAACGTTAAGGGCTCGGAATGCTTAGGAAGAAGAAGATGAAGAAGAAGAAGAAGAAGAAGAAGAAGAAGAAGAAGAAGAAGAAGAAGAAGAAGAAGAAGAAGAAGAAGAAGAAGAAGAAGAAGAGGAAAGAAGAAGAAGAGGAAAGAAAAAGAAGAAGACGCACACTCAGACAGGATATTCACAACTGGCACATGTCTAATTAAGACTGCCAGAATCATCAAATCACACATCACCCCTCCCCTAACCTCTCCACATTATATCAATAGCTCCATATGTGTGATAAAGACATCAGTAATTATGAAGACTATATAGGGCCACGCTCTAAAATCAATAATTACTAGTGATCTATATAGCTCGGCTCTCCTAAAACCAGATCATCAATCGATTAGCACCCACCAGTGACGTCATCAACCGCTATTAATGTTAGCAACCGCAAGGCTGGAAGTAGTACTTTACTAAGGATATGTAGGCTGCAACCGCCGGACAAAACCTTAGGACGTATTGATTTTATATATATATATATATATTTTTTTTAATGCTAAGAATATTTAGAGATCGATCAGGGCAAATGTGAGGTCAAATTGACGATCCTACTACCACGACATGATCATTGTTGCCACTACTTGTATTGTGTGTGTTTCTTCTCAGATGTCCTGCTCTTATCCTGTCTACAGTCATTTTCTACTTTAAATCGTTTCTTCTTTTTTAGTGCGTTGCTGCCAATTGTGTTGTGTTCCCATGAACTCACTGAATACATGTTCATGCCCTTCTTACACATATCTTACATCGTAATTTAGTTCTGCGGCGTCCGTGGCTAAGGCGTTGCGAGTCCGAATCGTTATTTCAACGTATTGCGATCGAAACCCATTGTTGGCTGCGTGGATTTGTATCTTGGTATAGGGCGTCGCAGTTCGACCCAGCCTAAAATGAGTATCAGGATGGGCTGTCCTGGGAATGAAATGACGGCCGGCGTAATGCTGACCACATTACCCACAGAGTGCTGATGGTCTGTAAAAGTATGGGCGCTCTTCCCATTTGCCTGATGCGCCTAAAGGCGTGAAAAGGGATCTTTACTTTTTGTTTAACTTTTTAATTTAGATCTACCTAGGCATCTTCTACTGACCTGTAATTGACTATAGGGGATGTCCTTAAATATTATTGTCATCCTAGGTCTCTTATGTAATAAACAGTCCAGCGCATCAGTGTAGTTGATAGCGAGTTCGACGCCAGGTGACAATCCTCATGCGTGTATGGTCTTTGGTTGAACCGCGGGATAGCAGAAAAGCCGTATACTCTCCAAATTAACAGTGTACGTGACACCGAGGCTGAAGCGCTTCGACGCCTTTGACACTGAACCAAATGATCAATGCTCACGTGCTTCAGGTTTTTTTTTTTTTTTCAAATATAATAAATCACTCTCATTAAACATTTAAAAAAAAACGACTCATAGAATGTTTTATCGAGCCTGTTCTGTTGTATATCAGTACATTGTGGAATGTGAGCAAACAAATTAAGAAGAGTTGGAAGGCAAGTGAGATGAGATTCTTAAAAAGAATGTTGCGAATACTTTGAATTGCCAGAATAACTAACAGTGATTGCCCTAGAAATGGCTAATGAAAGTAGAACATTATGTACAACAATGGAAAGGCGACAAACACATTTCTTTGGTCATATGATGAGAAAAGGAATTTTGGAAAATATCGTGACGACTGGAAAGATCACTGGTAGAAGATGCAGAAGCAGATCAGAACAAATGATAGTGGATGGCTTAGGGCAGTGACATGGAAGAAAATCATCAGTGAAATTGATCAAAAAACCTCAAAGACCGAGATTTGTGAAGATGCATAAACACTTGTATCAGCTAACAAGGCACTTGATGATAATGATCCTGAGTAGAATCTCTAATTTATTTGAAAACTATTTACTCTGTATGTGCTCTGTCATTGCAGTTATCCATGAATTCTCGAACCACCCGCCAGGTGGCGTCACGGCCAAACTGTACCAAGGAATTGCAATTAGTTGTCAACTTCCGGCTTACAACCCAGGTAATTATTTGTATTTTTATTCTTTTCCTGCCTTTCTATCCCCCAATGGAGCTTAGGCCCTTCAACCAACTCACGCCAAGTTGTTCTATCTTTAGCTATCATATGCAGCTCTCCCAATCTCTCTAGCTTTATTCTTCAGCTCTCTTCTCTATGTGTTTTTTTAGCTTTCCTTTATTCATATGCCCCTGTTGGTTCCAGTGCAAAGACATTCTAGCTATATTGTTCTCCGGTTCTCTTAGTGTGTGTCTTAACCAACGCCATCGTCCTTTCGTCACCACTTGGTCCTCTGGAGCTTGCTTAGTTCTCTCCCAAAGCTCTACATTAGTGATTCTATCATACCATTTAATTACCTCTATTCTGCGCATGCACCAGTTAATGAATGTTTAGTTTATTAGTAATTGCCTTAGTTGTTCTCCATGTATCCGCTTCATACAAAAGTACTGATTTGACATTAGAATTAAATTTTTAAGTTTAGTATTTCTCCTAATTTCTTTTGGCTTCCACAAATTCCCTAATGCATGGTATAATTTAAAAGAAATTCTTTGGTGTGCCAACGTGTCTGCATTTGATGTTAGAAATGCGATTTGCTCTGAATTGTTGTTCTTGTTGTTGTCATCTGGGTGTTGTTAGTGTTATTTTTATTCTATGGAGCTTTTAATACGTTCCTGCATTTATTCCTTTCTGTTAGGGCTGTTGTCGTTATTCTCTTTTTTTTTTCTTCTTCTTTTATAACCATTTCTCGTCTTCTTACATGCATTCCATTCTATCTTCCTTCCTTCTTTCTTTCCTTCCTGCATTTTTTTTCTTAGGTTTATTTTTCTTCGTTTCTATTTAATCTTTCCTGTATTCATTCTTTTCTTTTCTTTTCTTTTCTTTTCTTTTCCTTTCTTTTCTTTTCTTTCTTTCTTTATTTCTTTCTTTCTTTTCTTTATCCTCTGCTTCTCCTTCCTCTTTTTCTTGTAGTGGTGTTAACGTTTTTTTTTTTTTAGTAGTAGTAGTTCGTGAAAGGACACAACCTACCTTCTATTACACTGTATTTGAGCTATGAAATATTTAGCTTTTTATAGTCATATAGGAAGAGGAAATTGACAATTACCACAAAACTTTAAATATCCTGACTCCATAACAAACAGCAGTCGCGAATATTCAACAGGATGGTGGCCATAGGAATGCAAACTTTAAACGCTATTGCAAATCTGTGGCTAAGCAACAGCAATGAAGTCAATGTCAAAAGTCGTAGCCTATCGTGTGTATCAGAAATCAGAAAGAGAACAGGAATGACTAAAACTGTCTTCAATAAGATGGCAAGCTACTGACAGATAGAGTGATAAATACCAGACACAAAATGAGAATCCACCAAATGTAGTGCATACTCAATCCTGCTATGTGGTGCAAAAACTTGGACAATAAACAAGCAACTAGAAAATCGAAATGAACCTCTGAAGATGTATGTATACAGAAGAATAGGTCTTATTTACTGAAAACAAAAACAGCCCAATGCAGAGGAAAGGCTACAAATATAAAGAGAATTACTGAAATTGTTCAACAATAGACAACCGAAATACTTTGTCATCATTGAAAGACGTAGTACACTTTTAAAAACCATACTAGAGGAAAAGGTCGATGGCAAGAGAGCAAGAGATGGACAGCGATACAAGTGGAAGGATGACATCAAGAGATGGACGTGCAGCAGTCTCGGAGAGTGTACAACCAAGACAAGAAACAGAGCCTGTTGGAGATCTGTTGCAGCCAACCTTCACTGTGGAGACGGCACCAGATTGATGATGACGTCTCGCAAACAATAGAGAGAGAAAAAAGAGGCTTTTGAATTCAAATGCTGTAGAAAGGTTTGCATAATGCCATGGACCAAGAAGGAAAGAAAACTGACACTATATAAGATGTGAAAGTCAGAGAAGACTGGCTAATAAACAGCATCTTGCTTAGGAAACTGAACTATTTTGCCAATATCAAGGGACACGGCGGAGTGAAAAGAATAGTAACAGAAAGCATGGTGCCAGCCAGGAGAGTGGTTTAATCCATTTCAGAAGTCATGCTCAACCTTCAAAATGTTTAGCTCAGTAACCGTTCGGTGTAAGTTGTTGAAATTTTGGATTCAACCTGTTCATAATCATGCACATGTAAGAAATATGGTCAGTTCCACGATAATCTCCCCAAACAAACTAGGTCAGGTTCAATTTAGACATTTTAGACTGGTCTGCTGTCCGGGGGGTTAAGGGTTGTCGCTATGTTGTTTCCTTTCTGGTTTGTCTTGCATTTACGTCTTTCTTCCGAGAAAGAGAATGCCCGTGACATTGGTTGCAGCATTCTCTAGGGGAGTTTGTGTTAGACCCAGTTTATAAAGGCTTTTGTAGTGTTAAAAGCTCTGGCGTGCTTAAATATACAACACGCAGTGTCAACGGCATTGTCGAACACCACTGAAGCAGTGTGACTGAAGGTCGACCAATTAGAAGTGAGCTAGTATGTATATAAGCGGTCCATGGGGAGACTTTTGTGGAGCTCACCAATAATATAAACAAATATCTAGTTTTTATTCTGAATTCTAGTATTAACAAACCCTGATTCAAAGCCAACAGCCAGTATTCTAAAGTTAACTGAGTAATGGAAACATTTCAAAACATCGAATTGCACGCGTTTTATAGGCGTTTCACTTTCAGCATTGGCCTCCTACGAGCTGTTGATTTTTAATGTGTGTGGGAAAGGCTATCAAATTAATCAACACGCATAGCTGCACGTGTCAGCTGATTCAAAATCTCCACGCCTGTGTCAATTACTGTATATTCTATATTTTTTTCAAGTGTTCATAAATTATTAATCAAATAACGATCGACGAAATTTGATGCTTTAAAAAAACAACAGAAATACCCGTGCAATTGTAAATTGTGAAATCGCAAGGACATTATAAAAATAAGGTCATGTGCATAGATGCGCGTTGATCCGTGTCAGAGTTTTCGAGATGTTTGACAAAGTGTGATAGTACGACTTTTGAAACGCACTATAGAAAGTGCTTGAGGCTGGTGATCTGCCCAGAGATCGAATTCCTTTTCCTCGGGCTGTGTTGAGAGCACCCGCTACCTGTTGGTGGTGTTAAAGATGATAATGATTAGGATTATGATGTTTGAATTATTGATATTATAACAATCTGCTAGTCTCTGAAAGAATTCAAAGGTAAATATATACTTTATATGAGATGTGTCTGTTTCTATTCCCTCAGCCGTGTCTGTCAAATGGTACAAAGAAGACGGAGGCCAGAACTTCATGAGGACAGATCTCCATCCGTACATATTTGTTTCCAACAATGGCAAACTTTACTTCTCGGAGATCTCTCAGATGGATGCAGGTTAGTTTACATATCTTTTGACTGTATATTGTGTATCTCCTCCCATCCTTGTGTACGTTTTATGACTATTTGAAAAAATATAAACAAATGGGGAATGGGGAAATACCCCTGCCTGCAACGTAACGTGCATGTCGAAAAGAATTTTCTGAAGTAAGGTATGTTAGATGTGAAGGAGCTGGTATCAAAGCCTAGTTGCAATCCACAAGACACCGTTTCAAATATTTTTAAGAAGAAGAAGAAGAAGAAGAAGAAGAAGAAGAAGAAGAAGAAGAAGAAGAAGAAGAAGAAGAAGAAGAAGAAGAAGAAGAAGAAGAAGAAGAAGAAGAAGAAGAAGAAGAAGAAGAAGAAGAAGAAGAAGAAGAAGAAGAAGAAGAAGAAGAAGAAGAAGAAGAAGAAGAAGAAGAAGAAGAAGAAGAAGAAGAAGAAGAAGAAGAAGAAGAAGAAGAAGAAGAAGAAGAACCAGGACCTCTAAAACATCTTGCCACAGTGCACTGAGAAGGCCTGTCTCCACCTTATTTTCATTATACACTATGAGTCAGTTAAGGTCATGTGTGTGCATCTCATTGTCAACATCTTCTTCATGTTCCCTGGATGTAAGCTTCAGTTGTTTGGTTGTTCGTTCACTTCCTGACTTTCATCCAGTTCCAGAACCTGAATATTTGCTCCACATCTGTTTTACAGATCGGTTTTTTTTTTTATGTACAGACTCTTGGTTCATTGCCTCCTACAACAGGCTTGCTGAGAAGGCAGTGGGTCTTTTCATGTTCTCCTCCACAATTGGACATCGGAACCATCACAAAGTAAACGGCTACTATTTAGCGGTGTTTCCTTTAAAGTCACAACTAGGAGCCTGGCCCGATGTAGGTAGGGTTGGCATCGTTTCCTTTGAAGTATGAGTGCGTCTGCCTGAGAGATCATACATGAGTAGTCTTCATGCAAATAAGTCAAATCTGTAAAACAGATTTGCTCGTGAAACTAAATTTCTGGAACATGCCATGTCCAGAAAAGGACGAAAAACCATACATTTGCGACGGAATTAACAACTTTAAGAAGTTTTATAAGACTGCAAGGGGGTTGTAGAGGTGTGTAACTTTCACACCTCTTCCGGGTTTTTTTTTTTGCTTGCCTGACTGCTTTTTAAGAGCCCTGTTAATTTAGATACATTATCACAATTCTGTTCCACAGGAGAATACCACTGTTTTGTGAATTTGGTGTCGCCAGTTGGGCAGATCCTGTCGGCCAACCAATATCCGAGTAGATCGAGCTTGGGGATACAGTTAGTTGTCACTGGCGACAGTAAGTATCTTTACTATCTCTTTTTGTTTACTTTATAGTCCCTGCTAAAAGTCAAAGCTATAGGAAAGTGAGTTTCATAATTCTTCTTCTCTTTTCTGTACTAATGGAATGCCATGTGGTGTCAGGACAGGAGGGATCTCTCTAAGGGCTGTCTGTTCGCTTCGTATAAAGTACTTACCAGCACATTAAAAACGTGGAACGACTATTAATTGCACACGATAACAAATAACAAAGGAAAATATTTTAAACTAAATAGGAAGGCATATAATAAAAATTCAAGTAAGAGAAATAACTCTATATACTCTGGTATCAACAGTTCGGGTGGGGGAAAAAAGGGGGGGGGGGATAATCACTAAGCAGGCACTGAAATGGAAAACAAGTACTTTGAGGAAGCGTCGGCGCTTACATGAAACCAAAAGATGAACGTTGTGGAGAGAGGCCAAAGATACTGAACTGCAATCCGCCCATGAGATAGCATAGGATTGACTGGGGTAAAAGCGTATACTGTGATCTTTATGTGGTGTATCACGGTAGAAAAGAGTGATGATTTTACATTACAAAAGGAGTGAAGAGATATCGACTTTAGTTGTAAACAAAATCAATATCCCGTGCACTTATTACATGCAAATGGCAGTTGCCAGAGGAACCATCACCAAGAGTCCACCTCTAGAATTGCAATTCTTTGTCGCTTAAAACAGCAGCCATCAAAAAACAGCATTTGCTCCCTCATTTCTGCATAGAGCACACAGCCAGTTCCGTGGTAACGGGCCACCTTTTGTTCTCTGAATATGCAGTTCAAAACACAAACCTCACTAGGCATAGACTTGAAGAGTTTTAAAACAGTTGGTTTCATAAAGACACGATACACATGATAAGCTGCTAGTTTGATAATCGCCCATCCTGTCTTTTCAGTGGCCATTGATTACGGACCGGAAATACACAACGACTTCCCAGCAGTATTTCCGTTTCCCTAGTTTAAGGGGAGAAACTCTGACCCTTGAATGCTTCGCTTATGGCAAGTAAGTTCATCAGTGTACTATGTTTCTTTTCTTCTTTGTAATGTCCATGTAAAGTATCAACATCAGGACTCTCTGTCAGAGCTCTAGACAAGATTAAACCAACTGCCCGTATTGTTTGTTTTACTGAAACCATACCTTCTTTCCTTATGATAGTATCATACTGCTATCTGAAGGTATGGGTATGGCAGCCCATGGCGATGGCGAGTGTGACTAGACAGACTCACCCATATTAAGAAAAGTTTGTAGGCCAGGGATGAAGTTAGTTTTGTCTAGAACACATGGGCGGTGTTGTAGAGACCATGTTTTGCCCATGCATCTCTAACGCCCTCTCAGTTTACTTTGTTTACTCAACAACAAACGTAACACTAAAACGCTTACTAAACCTAGAACATCTGGCGATCTCTCTGGCAAACCCCTACACCCCAAGGTAGAAGAGGATCGACTAAGTAAAGTAGATACAAATAAAAAAAAAAAATTCTGCTAAAATTAGAACGTTATGCACAATTAACACATTATAGCCAACACACTTGGGACAGGTGAAGATAAAGGTGACAGTATCAACTTCCTTTCACAGGGTCTTCCCCCATATGGCCTAGTCTCTCTCACAACAGAAAATCTGGCGACGATCCCTAGGAATCTGAGTAAAAAATGCACGCGGGAATTTAACGGCACCGCTGTGAAACGAACCCACGACCTTCATGGCGCGAGGCAAACGGCTTGACCTCTTCGCCACTTAGAAGAAACTGGAACAGACCTATAATCGAAACTGCTTGCGGTACGTTAAAGCTGATCGACTTTCCCCCCGTCTTCAAAAGGACAGGACATTAGACATTCTAAATAGGTCCCTACTTTTAAGTAACTATATACTGCTAACTGCCAATGACTGCTTATATTATACAACTTTTGCAGTGTAGGAGGTAAGGGGGGGGGGGGTCTTTGAGCGTGAGGACTTACAGCCACATGGCTAGTGCTGTCGCCACGACTGTGCAGGTGAGGATTTGTATTTTGCCCTCGACAGAAAAAGTCCCAGCCTTACCGAGGATTCAATCCCGTGCCTCTCTCTTGAAAGCCCAGCGTTTTAACCGTTCGGCCAGCCTCTCCTCAGTCACTATATACGTTCACTTGAGCGGCGTCTATGGCTTAGGCGTTGCGAGTCCAACTCGTAATTCCAACGCACCGCGATCGAAACTCACTGCTAGCTGCGTGGTATGGTATCGTGGTGTAAGGCGTCGCAGGTTGATCCAGCCTAAAATGGGTATCTGGGGAAGTAAAGACAGCCGGCGTAATGCTGACCACATTACCCACCTAGTGTCGACTGGTCAGTAAAAATATGCGTGATCTTCCCAAATGCCCGATGTGCCTAAAGGCGTGAAAAGGGATCTTACTTTTACATACGTTCACTTGCAGGCTACCATTATACTACTCCTGGTCCAGGGACAACGGACCTATCCCAGAGAAAGCATCTTTGATGGAACACGGTCGTATGCTGGTTCTTCCTGATGCTCAGATAGAAGATGGGGGAAACTATACCTGCATCGTTGAAAGGGAGAAGAGCTCTGTTCAGCAGAAAACTCTACATTTAATCATTGAAGGTAGTTTCTTCTTTTTCTTCTTCTTCTTCTTCTTCTTCTTCTTCTTCTTCTTCTTCTTCTTCTTCTTTTTCTTCTTTTTCTTCTTCTTCTTCTTTTTCTTCTTCTTCTTCTTCTTCTTCTTCTTCTTCTTTCTTTCTTTCTTTCTTTCTTTCTTTCTTTCTTTCTTTCTTTCTTTCTTTCTTTTCTTTCTTTCTTTCTTTTTCTTTCTTTCTTTCTTTTTCTTTCTTTCTTTCTTTCTTTCTTTCTTTCTTTCTTTCTTTCTTTCTTTCTTTCTTTCTTTCTTTCTTTCTTTCTTTCTTTCTTTCTTTCTTTCTTTCTTTCTTTCTTTCTTTCTTTCTTTCTTCTTCTTCTTCTTCTTCTTCTTCTTCTTCTTCTTCTTCTTCTTCTTCTTCTTCTTCTTCTTCTTCTTCTTTCTTCGTCTTCTTCTTCTTCTTCTTCTTTCTTCTTCTTCTTCTTCTTCTTCTTCTTCTTCTTCTTTCTTTCTTTCTTTCTCTTTTCTTTCTTTCTTCTTCTTTCTTTCTTTCTTTCTTTCTTTCTTTCTTTTTCTTTTTCTTTCTTTCTTTCTTTCTTTTCTTTTTCTTTTCTTTCTTTCTTTCTTTCTTTCTTTCTTTCTTTCTTTCTTTCTTTCTTTCTTTCTTTCTTTCTTTCTTTCTTTCTTTCTTTCTTTTCTTTCTTTCTTTTTTCTTTCTTCTTCTTCTTCTTCTTCTTCTTCTTCTTCTTCTTCTTCTTCTTTCTTCTTTCTTCTTCTTCTTCTTCTTTCTTCTACTTCTTCTTTTGTTTCTTCTTCTTTTTCTTCTTCTTCTTCTTTTTCTTCTTCTTCTTCTTCTTCTTCTTCTTCTTCTTCTTCTTCTTCTTCTTCTTCTTCTTCTTCTTCTTCTTCTTCTTTCTTTCTTCTTCTTCTTCTTCTTCTTCTTCTTCTTCTTCTTCTTCTTCTTCTTCTTCTTCTTCTTCTGCTTCTTCTTCTTCTGCTTCTTCTTCTTTTTTCCCTCTCTGCCAGTAGTTCTGAAATGAGAAAGCCACAGGCCGTTATGAAGTCTGTGATGCTAGGTTAGTCTTACACAGTTCTATAGACTAGTTTCCAATGAAATGCCAACAGGCCAAAATCTAATATCTCTCTACTACATGTGAGGCGAGGAAAAATCTTGGAGATTATGGCTGCGTGATTACTGCTCTAGCCACATAATATACAGAGTGTTGTTTCAAAGCTAATGTGATTTTTGTATACGGCCAAATTACTAGCGTTTTATATACTTAAATATACTCTTATATTGTAATGATCTTATTTTTGAAAAAAGTGCGTTTTTTTTATTCGTGCCGTTGTATTTTTAATAATTCGGGGTAACTGCTTATCCTGTGAACGGCACAGGCTCCTATTTTCATCTCGACGTTAATGCTTTATACAATAATAATACTTAGACTGTCAAACTGTATTGAAACAAGTCGATTTATCTGTTGTTTTAAATCACTTGTATTATTTTGTTAGGTAACAGAACAACTTTTACTGTAACGACATGGATTACCCAAAAGCCTAAACCTAGCCACATAAATTAGGTTTTCACAGCTTTTCTAACACTTGGAAACGATCCAGCACAGTAATTTAATAGCGCGGTCAGACACTTTCAGCGCAACAATTGTGGAATTTACGTCAAACATAAGAAACACCAGTGTGGAAAAAAAGTCGATTGGCTACATTAGAACTGTGCTGTATAACTCTTAAAAAGCAATCCAGCAAGGATCATCACTTATATGTATATATCTCGAATAAGCAAAAATGAATTAAAATTTTATTTGCACGGAGAAATTCAGAGATAACGTTCAGAATTAAGTAAGTATTTATTAGTCGTTTAATCCATTTATTTATGTAAAGCTGATATATGATTTTTTTAAAGATCGGCACCAATATATAAAAACTCATAGTTTATCGGATCAATAGCAGTTTCACCGTTGTGAGAAACAAAGTTACGGAATATCAGTGCAAAGGCCAGAGAATACATTAACATGTGGAACAAATGTCTTGCAAACCACGAAAGAAGTGAGCTGTGTTAGAACTAGACGTACAGGCGTTAAGAGAGGGTTGCTGCGTGGTCTATAGGCATGGTGTTCGTCTCGAGTGCTAGAGGTTCGGGGTTCTCTCCCCTGTAAGGGCTGGGATTTTTTTCACATGGACTTTTAGTAATTCCCCCAGGTCTCTGGGTAGTGAGATCGGACGCCCGTGTGCATTGTTACGCAGGTAAAAAAAATCCCTTGGCAATTGGAAATCGAAAAGCGTAGCCTAACGGCTCTGCCCGGGCAAAATTTGAAGTTAAAAATCTACCCAAAATATTAAGGGTCCTCTTCGGTGCTACATAGCCTGTGCACTGTGCTGAGCTTCTTCGGACTCAGATTTGAGTTGGAAGAAGAACGAGGCACTTAACGGTTACTACCCGTGTGCCATGATGTTGATCCGTTGTTCAAAACTCAAAAACTTGCAGGCGTAAGTAAGAGACACTCTTATCGAGAAAGTATTTTCAAAGTATACAAATAGCTGCTAGAACTTGTGCGTGAACCTGAGTGATTGACATCGTGACTGAGGCCCTGGTGTCAAATGGATGACAAAAAGGTAGAACGTCAGGTTATTGTTCTGATGAAAAAGGAGCATGGCAACTATGGGATTTCGTCCGGATCTAGGTAGGTAGGTAGTTGTACCCCACCAGGCCATAACACAAGCGATAAGCACCTGGAGACACAAATTGCCACCATGCGTATGAGGATCACCCGTATAGAGGTCATAAAGGCCCCTTTCATCCGTTAGGCCACATCTATGGCTAGGCTAAATCTATGCCCCGGCTATATTCAGGGCCCCTGGCAGAATCCAGTGTGGGGCTTCAGAAAAACAAAAAACTGCATACTACATGGGAACGACTTTCATATAATCCGGATAAACTGTAAATGCATATGTTTGTCTGATGTTCGTCACGGACCAGCCACCAAGCGATAACCAGCAGAGGGGTGACATTTGCAGATGTAATTATGTCTCAGTGTTTAGGTTTACTATGCAATTTTCAACAATGTTTCTACTATTTTATTATAATAAGCGCCACTACAAGATAAAATTTATTGGAGTTACATCCCTTGACTACATAAATTATTTCAAAAATCCTATACAGGACGTTGCAGAACCGACCCCCATTATATTTCAGATGTTGAAGTTTGTCTAGGCAAATTTGATTTTCAGTAATTTGCCAGTAGTGCTGTCACACTGAACGGACAAATAGGGAGCTGGTTCCGAACAACAGTAGGAGTCAGTCACGGCTGCCTCATCTCCTCACCACTGTTTAATATCTTCTTAGAGAGAATTATGACTGACGCCCTAGAACAAACATCATGGAACAGTTAGTATAGGAGATCGAACTATAAAAACTTAAGGTCTGCAGATGACATCGATGGGTTGGCCGGGAACAACACGAATTAGTCGATCTTGTAAATCTGCTCGATGAAACATCAAACAAGTGTGGCATGGAATTAAAAGCAGGAAAAAAAAAGTAATAATTAGTAATGTAGCTGGCATAACCTTACCAATCTACGTTAAGGGTCACAAATTGAATGAAGTCAATCATTTCAAATATTTAGGATTAATTTTAAGTGACTTTTAAGCAACCAGAAATCATATCTAGGATTTCCAAGGCAAAATCAGTCCTTGCCAAGCAGCAAACATTATGGAGACCTAAACACATTTCATGCAAAAATAGGATTCGATTGCTCAGAGAACTAGTTATTAGTACATTTACATATGGCTGTGAAACATGGACCTCAACAGATGAACTCGAAAGGAAGATACAAGCATTGAAAGTGGGATGTTTTAGAAACTAAAGTGAAAAGGCGAAAAATGCAATGGTATGGACTTGTAATAAGATCTAACGGCCTCTCAAAAACAATACTGCAGGGCTCAGTAGAGAGAAAGAGTAGAAGAGGCAGATCAATACAGACCTGGTTACAGAAACTGACTGACTGGACAGGCCTCGTTGATGCAACCATGGTCCATCGCAACTGACCACCAAAGGTGGTGAGAGCTGATCAAACAGTCAACAGAAACTGGGAATCCAACGACACGGGATGATGATGATAAATTTGATAATCTTCTGCACGGTCAGCTCTCGGTACCACTGTCCAAACCAACGCAAGAGGGTCTGCTACAAAATCGCCTGCAGCTGAGATCGAACCCGGCAACGACTACATACATATATACTTCTGAACGTAAAATTTGCCTAGAAAAACCATATTGCAACTAAAAACAAACAAAAAATGCTGAGGTTGGTCCTACTATAGGTAGGCACATTTGTGTTTTGTTTTGTTTAAATTAAATAAATTTAAAAGTTCTGAAAAAAAAAAAAAACTTGCGAAGAAACGTTTTCAGTTATTTCTGTTATCTGTCAACTGTCACTATTGTCTCTGTTACCACTTTTTAGGGCGGTGTATACAGGGGGTTATTGTTATGATTTCCTAGTTATGGGCATTACATTAACGTTAACAAGTCCTCCTCTTCCCCAGCCCGGCCATTCTTCATCTTCCCTCTATCTGACCAGCATGTGGACATTGATCGCCAGTTCACCTGGAGGTGCGAGGCAATGGGTGTTCCTAGACCCATCTACACTTGGTTCAAAGACGGCAAGCAGCTGTACAGTATTCCTGGTGATATTGAGGTATGCCGGTTTTGTTCCTAACGTACTGGTGTTACCTTTCCACTGGAGTAAACAAGGTCAGTCAAGAGAGGAAGAGAGAGATAGAGAGAGAGAGACAGAGAGAGAGATAGAGAGAGTGAGAGATCAGTATGCGTAGCCAACATATGGTCTCTACAATACTGCCTAGGCTTAGTGCTATGGGATTGTCGCCGTAGCTACGGAGGTCGTCCTTTGTGTGATGCTCTCAGCAGGTATGTAGCTATTCTGCAGACAGAGACAGCCATAGGGGGTGAAACCCAGTGTGAGAAAGTCGATCGTCTCACCTTTACCTTCACCTTTACCTTCTACGTTTCCTTGTTCTAATCATGTTCTCATTCAACACACACTAGGTACAAGTCAATACGCTGACCATCTTTAAAACAGACCCCAAGAAACACCCAGGGATGTATCAGTGTATGGCCGTCAATGTTCATGGTACGACGTTCACCACTGCTCAACTCAGAGTGCTCTGTAAGTTTGTAAATGCTTGTTTTCCTCGTAAAGATTCTGTAGACTTTCTACTACTTGGGGCTGACCATTGCGATGTTGACAGTTAATATATGTTATATTCAGCATTATGTCGTACAGAGATCACACTATAAATAACGCAGTTAGCCGTACCAACACTCAACAGATTGGCAACCACGTGCCCATTTTAACAACCAATAGTTTAAAATAAAGTCAGAAATAGCAATAGTAACAAGAACTACAGTACTTGCAAAAACGATATTGCAGGGCTCTGGAGAGGTTAAACGTTGAGTTAGGAATCAACATCATATCACTCAAGACACTCCCATAAGCGCTCCGTCCCCACCTTCAAGAGCAAGCAAAGTGTTCCTATTCTGATGGCACCAGTAACTGTCTGTCTGATTGTATTTACGTCTCGCCTTTCCCTTGAGTGATTCCTTGGTAACGTCTCGCAGTGCCATTCTCCTCAAACAGTACTGATCTATTTGTGCCTCTGCATTGTTCACTCTCCCCTCACAACATCTAGCTTGTCATACATCAGTTTACTACCAAGTAGTGCAGAACCGGGTAGTCTATCAGCCTGTTTGTTTCCCAACACACTACTATGACTTTGATTAAAAAATCCAAAAGAACACCAACTACCCGGAATCTCTGAAGCGATGCTTGCCACTCTGCACGGAGCATGCCTGTCTCCACCTTTCTCAACATGCTCTGCGAGTCAGTTACAATAAGTTGTGTGTACAGCTGATTCTCAAGCCAGCGGAAGGCAGCAGTAACTGCTCTAGAGAGGCGAAAATAGCAGAAGCAGAGTAAGAAAATACTGGATTCAGGATGTAGCTAAGTGAACAGCTGTCAAACATGCAAACATCACATGTATTGATCTAACCGAAAGAGAGAAGGTGGGGGTGGAGGGGGAGGGGAAGTTGAGGAGACAAACAACAACTAGTGACCCATCCAACCACACGTGGTGTTCAGGAATCATGATGAATCATGGTTAAAGGACCCTTTTCCACCCCTTTTAGGCGTATTGAGTATACCGGTCTAGACCTATATTTTATAGACCAACGGCACAAGATTGGTGATGTAGTCTTACTATCCAGGACTGCACCCGGTACCCACGCAAGGCTGGGCTGACCTGGGAGCCAAAGTCATTTTTGAAAAAAAGTTTAGCTCTGCCAGGGAGCGAACTCACGACCTTCCAATCCGCAGGCAAGCGTCTAGCCGCCAGAACCCGGCGACTCCCCTGATGGTCATAGCGATATTTAGCATCTTCTCTAGTTGCAGTGTGTGTCTCATCAACGGAAATTCAAAACTGTTAAATGGTAATCACAGAAGTTCGTCATTTTCCACATGATTATTGTGAGCATTGTTAATTTAAGTTGCACTTCCGCCAGTCTTAGTCATCGTATGTTCTATGTTTGGCAAATATACTTAGAAGTTACATACTCTATGAAATAAATGCACCGAGTAAATAACAATTGATCCAGTATTTTGCCTTCTTTCATTTAGCTTTTGCGCCATCGTTTCTGAAACGGCCCGTAAACCCATCTCAGTTCGGAACAATGGGAGGATCGGTGATTATACTATGTCAACCGGAGGCCGCCCCACCCGCAACTATTGCCTGGCTCAAAGATAACAGGGAGCTGCATGCAGCAGAAGGTAAGATAATAGATAGGACAAGAGTGATAGAAGAACTGTAATACATTTTATATGTTGTCAGTCTTATTGTTATCTTGTTCTGTATCACGCATCTCACCATACGTTCATTGCAAAGTCCAAACATCTTCTTGAAGTCCATGTCGTGTGCCGTTAGTAAGCAAAAAAATTAAAGATCCCTTTTCCTGCCTTTGGGCGCATCGAGCATATGGGAAAGCACCCCGTATTTTGACAGACCAATCGGCACTGGGTGGGTAATGTGGTCAGCATTAAGCCGGCCATCTTTACTTCCCCAGGACAACCCTTCTGGTACCCTTTTCAGGCTGGGTCGACCTGCGACGCCCCATACCACGATAAAAATCCACACAGCCAGCAGTGGGTTTCGACTGCGGTACGTCGGAATTACGAGTCAAACTCGCAACGCCTACGCCACGGACGCTGCTGTGTCGTTGGTAGTCATGTCTATTCGCAACCTTCTGTCTCGTGTACTTTCAATCAACTCTGACACAAATGATCCTCTATGCTGCGATGTCAAACTGGCCAGTATCTTTTCTCTCAGTCTCCCTCTTCCTCTTCCCTTCCCATCAATTTTCTTATCCCATCAAATTTCTTACTGTGACGATGTACTCTAGTTTTCTCCTTCTCATCACATGACCAAGGAATGTAGATTGTCTCTTTCTGGTGTTGTCTCTGAACCGAATAGGCAGAAGAGCACAACAAGAACTAAAACTGGGCTGTAGAAGTGATCTCTTTATTCAGTAGAAATATCTCAGGTCTGGTCAGAAAGTGTTTGGCAGGAAAACAAGCTTCATCTGTAAATGGAGGATATGCGTGGCGCGTAACCTTCATAGATGCATGTGGCTTTCTTATCAGAAAAACTGGTGCTTTATTAATATCTTACCCCAAACAGAGGAAATCCACAGGTCACGGAACAGTCTAATTTTTCAGGAGGTTGTAGACAGGCTGCATGCAGTCGTTGGACCTAGGCTGCACTCTCTCGAGGGACGTAGGTGGGTTGTGGTTAGGGTGTTATAGATGTTGTGGGGTTATTAAAAGCATCATAAAGCAGAGAAACCCAGTCTTACCAACCTCTATTTTGTTTGACTGTCCTGTCACGTCATCCGGAGTAGTATATTAATAAAACACCGAAAAACACAGGCAGTGAGAGTCAATAGAAAATGTCCTCACCAAAAAACTAAACTTTTGTTACTCTTTTCTACCTCAAGCTGCTGTGTTTATTGTTTCATTAGCATATTTTATCAGAATGTTAAGTTTATATTTCATTTTATTTTAAATTCTTTGAACTCAAACCGTAAGGTCACTAACAACACAAGAGGAAACTGGTTTACGAATACCAGTATTAGAGAGAAAGTTGGAATAAGACCTTGTCTGGTCTATATTGACAGACAAAGAATGAAATGGTTCTGCCACCAGTGAGAATGCAGCTCTACCAAGCTGCACATGGTTCTTTTTTTTTAACAGCAGAACAGCTAAGGGAGAAAGACGAGGGAAAGACCAAGAAAGAGAATGATAAATGGTGTCGCCAAAAAGACGAACAAATCCACCAGCAAAGCCACATGAGAAGGGCTAGACAAATACAGAAAACTACGACACATGGCTAGAAGCTGCTATCAGCGAGACGACAAAAGAAGTAGAAGGAAGAATTCAAACTTTGGATATTGTTGACTATAATTTCTTACAACTAACCGAGTTCAAGTAATTGCAGTCTGGTACAGAAAGAATTAATATCGCAGTAGATGATTACAGTTGGTTGCTTTGAGCGGAATTAACATACTGCATGGACACATAGATATGTGGGTTCCGAGGGCCTCATTATGGAGAAAACAAAAATAGACCGACTGGCTGCCCAAAAGCATGTCGTAAGAGTCGACTGATTTGGGAGCTTTTTTCGAAGTAGGGGTACATCTGCATGAGACGCAAGGAACCAACAGTCTGCATGCAAATGAGCCAGACCTGTGAAATAGATGTGCATGCAACCCTCAGTTTCTGGAACAGGACTACAGTCCAGAACTAGACGAACAATCAGAAATTTCCTCCGTAGTTTACAGCCGGTGAACGCTATGAAGACGAAGACCTTTAGACGCAAATCGTAACTAGTTACTGAAAAGGCAACAAGGGACTTAGAAAAAAAAAAGAAGAGGAACGAACGAACGAACGAACGAACGAACAAACATAAAGTTTAAAGGGTTAAGAATTGGGCACGCAGGCCCGTCTAGCATTTTGCCCTTTGAGGTCTTCCCCCCCCCCCCCCTATTCTTACATCATTTCATTCACACATCAAGATTAACATTATCAAAAGCATCAAAATATTCAGACAGAGAAAGAGACTATCAGGAGATGAGAGTGAAAAACAGAGAAAGGAAAAGGCAAGCAGAAGATGTAGAGAAAGAATAGAAACGAGAGAATAAAGTATGGAGGAGAGACAGTCTTGTCTTGTCTTGTCTTGACCACAATTGCCTCACAGCGTAGTGGGGAGTCGCAGTTTTCTATCCTGGGCCAGGTGTGTTGCACGTGTTGTTGTTAGTCCGTGTTGCCTCAGGATCTCTGATATATTGTCTATCCATCGTACTCTCGGTCTGCCTCTTGTTCTAGGGCAGTAGTGCTGTTCGTTGTATGCTCGTAGAGGCAGTTGGTCGGTTTGCATTCGCATCAAGTGGCCTAACCACTCTATTTGTTGCTTCTTTATATATTGCAGGCATGGTGTGGTTCCTACAATTGATCTAATGTTCTCGTTTCGAACTCTGTCTCTCCTTGTGACATTGGCAGCCTTACGTAAGCATCTCATTTCGCACGTCGTGATCTTTTTCTCCTGTGCTCTTGTTAGGGACCAGGTTTGGCATTGGTAGCAGAGGGTTGGTATAAACATGCAATTTATCAGTTGTCGTTTTAGTGCCATAGTGATGCTTGGGTGTTTTAGCAGTGGGGAGAGTTGGTAAGTTACTGCGTTCGCCTTTTGACATCTTGCCTCAAGTTCCTTATCAATTCTTCCATCATCTGTGAAGATGCTCCCCGAGTATTTAAATTGCTGCACTTGTTTGAGTTGTTCGTTGTTAACTTGAATAGTTAGTATATTAGGTGTTCTACTTATTTTCAGAATTTCTGTTTTGGTGATGCTGATCTTCATGTTATAATCGTTGCAGACTGTGTGTAGCGCATTTACGTGGATTTGAAGTTCTTTTTTTCTTTTCATGTATTATGCTTTGGTCGTCTGCGAAAAGTATTTCGTTCAGTTGGGGATATACTTCATCAGGATCGGCGTGTATGTTTTCATTATAATGATCTCTTTCAACTAACTCTCACTGCTTGGTGTAGTTAACAGTTCGCTTTTCATTACATGGTTTGCTGCTGTTGTTATTCTGTCCATGTATATATTGAATAGTAGTGGTGATAGTGCACAACCCTGTCTTACTCCTGTTCTTAGTATGAATTCGTCTGTCACACCAACATTTGTTCTAACTACGCTTGAGCTTGTTTGGTACAGAGATCTGATGTTGTCTAGTAGCTGACCTTGTACTCCATAGTCGTTCAATATATTCCATAGTTTGTTCCTATCTACCCTGTCAAAGGCTTTTTCTTGGTCAATGAATGCTATATTGAGTTGTTTGTTATATTCTATTGCCTTTTCACTAAGTTGTCTTAGGGTGAAAAGGGCGTCTGTGCAACTTTTTCCTTTCCTAAATCCAAACTGAGCTTTACTCAGCTGTATCTCTACAAAATGTTTTGTTCTTGTCTCAAGTACTTTTGAATATAGCTTCCCTACGTGGCTCAATAAAGAAATTCCTCTGTATGTGTCACACTCTCTTTTATTGCCCTTGTTTTTCCAGATTGGGACTATAATAGCTTTTTGCCAATCCTCCGGTGTTTTCCTTTCGTTCCATGCTACCGTGAATATTCTATGTAGCCATTTTGCTCCGGTTTTTTTCGCACGCTTTAATTGCCTCGTTCGTTATACCGTCTATACCTGCTGATTTATTATTTGGGCTCATCTTGATAACTCTCTCAACTTCTTGAATTAGAATGCAAGGTTCTTCTTGTTCTTCCTTATAGGTGGAGTAGTATTCTTTAGTTTGTGTATTTGTTGGATTGAGTAGTTCGTAGAAGTATTCCTTCCATCTTTCCTTCTTTCTGATAGCGTTAAATAACGGTGTTCCGTTTTTATCATTAATAATGTTGGTAGGGTTAAAACTTTCGTCCCTTATTCTCATAGAATGTACACTTTTGTAAAAGTCTCTAGGTCTTTCCCTTGAAATTTTCACAAGTTGTTCGCCATATTTCTGCCATGAGTCCTCTTTTGCCACTTTGATTATTTGTTTAGTGGATTTTCTAGCACTTTTGTAGTTAGTATAGTCTTCTACTGTCTTTGTTTGTAGCCATTTTTTGAACAGTTTTTTTTTTTTTTTTGTCTTTATAGATTTTTTTATATCTTCATTCCACCATGGTGTTCTTTTCTTAAACCTTCGTCAATGTTGTTGTTTCCCACATGTTGAATTCAATGTTTTTAGAACGGATTTTTTGAAAATGTTCCATTCTGTATCTATGTTATCTGTTTGTGCTGGTAATGTTTCATACATACTAGACATCTTGGTGCACACCTCTTTCTTGACTGTATCGTCCTCTAGTTTTTTTTAAGTTGGTCACGTATACTCGTTTTTGTATGTGCTGTTTCTTATTTGGAACATACCTCAGCTGAGATAGCACCACAGGCCGGTGGTCAGTGTCCATACTGATGTTTGGATAGACTCTTGCGTCTGTCACTTTGTTTTTATGTTTTTGTCTAACAAGCATATAGTCAATTTGCGATGACTGATCTAAGTTATTCCATCTGTACCATGTCTGCATATGTGATTTACGATGTTTGAAGAATGTGTTTGTGATAATCAAGTTTTGTTCATAGCACAAGTTAACCAGTTCTCCACCATTACTGTTCCTTGTTTTTATCTGCGGTACTTAATAGCATGTTTATGTGAACTTTCACTACCCTA